CCTCCCTTCCTCCCCCCTGCTTCCTCCCTCACCCTGCCTTCTCTTCCTAAAATCAAACCTATCCTCTGGTGAGAATTAAAAATAAAACTTGAATAAAATATAATGTCCAAGTATGACTCCAACATTATTACTATTCCAGTCGAAGTTCATCTCATTAGACTTGCCTGCTAGAAGCATTACCTTTAGGTCAAGGACTGAGACATTTACAGTTTCATTTTTCTTTATACCAGCTAGGTTTCCACTTTATGCACATAATGAACCATGGTACACACTGTGATAGTAAAGTGTGCCCCCAGTTCAGAGTATGTGCACATACAACAGGCCTCACAGTCCTGGAGCCATTCAGGTCACTGGAAATATTTCTGCCTATCTGGGCCTATTTGCACAGTTCTCACCATTCCCCTCCAGGCTCTGAAAAGACGTACTGAAAAGTTTCTTAATAGCTCACTCTCATCTGGACTCACGTTAATTCTATGATCATATTTTATTCCAGACACTTTTGAGAAATTCATCAGGCTGTGAAGTGCACAGTGATGAATATCGAACGGAGTTTACTACAGCTTTGCAGCGCGTCGACTTATTCATGGGCCAATTCAACCAAGTCCTCTTAACATCTATATCCACCTTCATTAAAGGGGAGCTCACCATCGCCAACCTGGGGACCTCAGAAGGCCGCTTCATGCAGGTAAATGCTTTCTGAGGGGGCTGCGTCTGCTTTATCTGGTATTATACCATTAATTCGGTTTTTGCAATAAGGTATTTGCAAACATTCTAAAATGAATATCATAGTGGAAACTAGAGACACCGACTGACAGCAAAACAATGAAGGCTGGTCCACTTTTTATGAAGTGCATTGGCCTATTTTTGTTAAATTCGCGAAGCTTCCGGTTTAAATGCGGTCGCTTTTCATTTCTTTGCCCAGAATGGTTTGGTGGTTGTTTTTTTTCTTTTCCATTCATGATTTCTATCACATGATTGGAAAATAAAACGAAACAATTACAGTGCTTCCAGGCGATGTTTTCCTCTTTCAAGGGAAGCTAAGGATCAAAGGAGCGCTATTGTGTGTACCGTGTGTCTCCATGAGAAGAAACATTCACATCATTGAGAAATATTGGCAGCAGTTAGGAGGGGAGTTGTCATCAAAATCCCATTGTAACTTCAACTCTCCTGATTTCTGCAAAATGATGGGGCTCAGACACAAAGAAGTTTAGATACTGAGGGAGAAAAATCTGTGTTTTTTTGTTTGTTTTTAAGAAATGCTTTAATGGATAGCAACAGTATTTCCATACAATAAAAGTTCACATTTCAGAAGTTACGTTTCCTAGATACAAGAATCATAGTGCCTTGCAGAAATTAAAATGCGCTTGTGTGTGCTATTTTACTGCTTTAATAGTTACTGCATAATGATTTCAACATGAGTCCCTTATTAGATTCTTAATTAATGCAGAATAACAATGGCATCTATGGAAATGCTGACTATTTCTCTTAAAGAAAGATGCTTTTTTCATAATCACCTGGTATAATTAAGATCCTACTCGGACCATGATGTCTAGTAAACCAATTGAAGATGATGATGTTTTCCTATGGCTTGCTCCTCTGTACATCTTCTGTCTATATTCTTTTACAAAACATTTTTAAAAATTACCACTGTCTTTATTGCAGTCTGGATATTGGTCATTGCCATATTTTAATTTGTGTTTTTCTTGTACTAGTGGGCATGATGGAATTTTTCAAAATTATAAAACTTGTAAATAAAGCCTTCCTAGCTCAAAACGAATGATATAGATCCTGTTATCTAAAGAGTCCCACACTTAGAACCCCCTCCTCCCATTGCTTCGCAGTTAAGTACAGTGGGGCCTTGACTTATGAGTTTAATTCGTTCCGAGCTCGTTAAGGAGCTCGTTAACTCAAATTACTCTATCAACTCAGTGCAAAAAATCAGCCGAGAGACAGCTGGTATCTCAAAAAACTCGTTAGTCGGGATACTCGTAAGTCAAGGCCCCACTGTACACTGTTTCATCCCCCACCTCCCTCTTTCCCAGCCTAGAGTTTTTTTATTTATCCACCGCAGACCGTTTAATTCTCTCCCTAACGCCTCAAAATCTGAAGGAGGGATGCCCAGTCCTGTCCCACACAAACAAGCACTCTGAGGTATTTGAAATATGGTCTTACCTGTGATCCTTGTAAAATGTGTGGTATTATGTTGTGCTTGTTGTTTTTTTGTTGTTTTTTTTAGTTAACATTGAAACTGGGCTATGGAATTCCAAAAAATTTGAAGGAGGATGAAAGAAGCTAACATCTATTGAATTCCTAATGTGTTCACTATGTTCATTTGCTTTCTTTTATCTTTCTTTCTGCTTTTCTTTTTTTCTAGATTGTCTATCACTCCCCAATCCAGTTTTGTATTAACAAACTTTCCACAGACACTTTTAGGTCTGACACTTTTTTACCTCAAAAGCCTCCTGGACTATTTCCAGATTCTAAAGATCTAATAGAATCCCATTTTTCGATAGGTTGCTTTAACAACTGGGGAAATTCTGCTGTGACAGATTCCACCACCCAAGTGATATGGCATGCATCGTCAGGCTCATTATAACAGAAATGCTGTGCCAAATATTTTATTCTTACCTCCCAGCATTTTCATAAGAGAAGCCCATTATCTATACATCCAACACATTAGAAATAAAAATAAGCAAACAAGTAGAAACTAATGTATATAAAGTACTGATATCACTGATTTTAAAAACACACACACACACACAAGACAGGTGGCTCCTAATTCATCAAATATGTATCAGGAGCTTCCTAACTTTGCTTCCCTAGGCAAATAAGCAAAGCAAAGAAAGCAGTGACACAGAACCTGCCTTTATGGAGCTATCATTTTGGTAGGGAAGATACAAACATGTACCTGATACCAAGACTAGAAAGACATAAGACAAGGGACTACTGACACCCACAGAGGACCTATTTCTCTAACACTTGCCTAAAAGATTTTCACTCCATTAAACTTTTATTTAAATAAAACCTAAAACACTGGAAGGATCAAACAGTCAATATCATTGAAATCCAGTTTGTTTACAGCAAATAATGTTAGGGGAGGAGCCAGTAGTGCCACAAAGACAAGGGGACCTTTCCAGAGTCATCTAGCTGCTGGCCAAGTTCTGTAAATGTTTTGACTGCACTAATGTGCTAAATCTGTGGCCAGGCCTCACTTTCTGCAACTCAGATTTTAGTAATACTATGGAGTCTCTGTTACAAAATGGAATGGACGTAATTTTTTTTCCCCAAAACAGCTGCCATCCATAAAAAGGAACAGAAAAATGATTTTACTTCCTTCCTACCCTGAAGCCTAAAGGCAATGTTGCTTTACACATGTTTTCTTCCAAGAGCTTGCAGCTGTTTCTGCCTCTCCTATTGTGCTTATGTTCAGCCCTGGCTGGGAACACAAGCGACAGCCCCAGCTGTCGGGTGCAAAGTGAATCAGGTATTTCACAGTGGTTATTTAATTAGAAAGAATTATATTGTTTAGCTAACAATATTATGTGTACGGCAGAGAAGACATTTTTTACATGTTTCTAACATTTAAGCATGCGTATCTTATCTCGTACAGGTGCAACTATGTCTAAATGTACTGGTGTGTACATGTATTTGAGTCTCTCTCTCTGTCGAGCCATGTCAGTCTAGATTTCAAAAACAGTTTTTATTTGTGTGATCACTCTCTTGGGATGCTACGAAGTAAAATAATATGATAAGCAATATTCAAGATAGCATAAATAAACAATGAGTCTGTGGCTGCCCACAGAATTTGGAGGGGGAAGGGACTTAGACAAGAACAAGGCTCAGGAACATGAGCGCAGCGTGCAGAGCTACGTGGGAGAGGGGAGAGCGATACTCATGAAGATCACAGGACTAATCACAGGGATTGCCCATGTCTCCCCTTCTGAGCTCCTCGTCTAATCTACATCCAAAAACAATGCTTGTTTGATTTGTTTTTTACAGCACTTGTATAAGGCCTTTAATCTCTAGATGCAAGGCATTGCTATTAAAATATTTGTGCATGACTGTCAGGCCAGGGAGAGTGAGTGGCTCAGGAATGGCTTGGGGGTGGGGAGTCCCTTTCATGACTTGTTTCAAGCTCAGCTCCACCAACAGGGCAGCTACCTTTTCTGCATACAGTGGTGGTGCCTGGGCCCTGTCACAGTTGTCCTTAGGCCCTTTGGCTTTCTCCGTGTGCTTCTCCAACCCTCTTTTCCTTCTCCCCAGTTTTTAATGCTGTTACCACTCACTACCCCTTTTCTCCTGTGCCTCTTAACTGGACTAGTTGGGTCTTTAGCAGAAAACTGAAAGGTAGGGATCACCTAAAAAGACATCCTTAGCCTGTGATCATGACTTATGACCGTTACTTAAAGGATTGCATTAGTAATCAGTGAACTTGAGAATAATCCCTCATTTCCAGTAAGGAGAATCAATCCAGTTATTGACCTCCTGTTTCAAATTCTTTCAGTTCCTGTGCCAGCATCAAGGCATGTCGATGCTTAGTGTTGGAAGCCTGCAGTATATATTATATTTGGGATTATGGCTATTTTAAAGTATGTAGACACAGATCGTCAATTCATCAATGCTGTAAAAAAGCATCCGGCAAGAGGCATGGCCAAATGAAGCTTGAGCTTAAATGACATTTCTCGAAGGATTGCTGACTTTTGCATCCCCTTTATAAAATGCTCGGATAAAAATATCATTTGTCTTTTTTTAATGACACATTATTGGTTTTTTTATATCCCTAAAGACTGTTAGGTTTAATATATTTCTTTAAAAGAAAATATACACATGAGTTCTAAAATTTCTTTTGTGAAAGAACCTATTATGAATAATAGTTTCAGAATATGTCCATAACTAAAAAGTAAGCCCAGTTCATGTATAATCTCCTTAAATGAATTAATATATATTCTTAAAGTGCATTTATCTTTTAAAAACATCATAAGTATTTGAAACCAAGGGAAAATGCTGAAGTTTGTTTGTTTTGGGTAGCATGGAATAACTGGGGTTCCTTGTTTGAGTGCTTATTAGAAGAGTAGAGAGACATTTTAAGACATGAAATATATCTACCAATAGGGTTTTGAACTTTTATCACTTCTTAAATTCAGAAACAAATATACTCTATGTATTGATTGGATAATTCTACAATCATTGTATTTGGAATATTGATTTGAAAGTATCTTAACATTGTCACAAATTTACTAGCTTATTTTGTTTTTAGATTTTTTTCTTTGTTTTTTTACAAAGGGCTTAGTCTGGTTTTGACTCATTTCGACTCCTTGACTCACTTCAAAAAGTTGAAATGCTCACACATCAGTATTTTAATAGTAAGGAAAATTGTTTTGCTTTTTATGTATACCTTTCCTCTGTAGTATCAAGTTAATATAGGAACACTTGAGCCCCAAAAGTGTTCCGAAAAGAATAAAGCTCCATTCAATTCAACTTTTGCCACCTGGTACTTTGTCTTACACTTCTAATTTTGAGCTGTCAGTACCAATCAGCATTTTCTACTTCTTGTTTCACTTTTTCTATTAAGTTAATCTGTTCTTCATAACTAATTTTTTGTAAACAAATACCAATTTCTCTCATGTACTGAAAAAAATAGTAAACCTAAAGCAGGTGTCTTGGTCAGTTCAGGCTGCTGTAGTA